CTAACGCATCGCATATAAAGAAATATTTCGACATCGAATAGAACTCGTGTTAAAGATAATGCGCAGTGTAATAAACCTTTAAAGAGAATCTTAAGAAATAAACGATTATAAAACGAACAATTCGAAATAACTTTAACCTAATACCAATGCACACATTCGTCTCGAGTCGTCTCGACTTTCGAACGGGGAATCCCTGTGCTGGTCACAACGAAAAATCCAAAGTGCCACTCGAGAGCAGTGTAATCCTCCGCTTACGCTGGTGGAGGCGCGCGATTGCGTCGCTGGAACAGGCGTACGCCATTCGAGAAGATAGGAAAGAGGATCCTTCTCTGCGTCTCTCAAGGACAGTGACCTCCATCAACCCTGTCCGCCATCGTGCACACACATCCAGCGTGATGATGATCCCTGACCCGCCAGATCGAGAATCTCTCAATTTGTCGAAGCTTGATTCCAAAATTGCGATAAGACAACGAGAGAATATTTTTTTTCTCCATCTTGGATTTAAAAATATTCCAAAGTGTCGCCTCGCTCGAGGATTCGAACGGAATTATCGAATCCAAAGCTGGATCCGATTTTGAAAATTGGTCGCGAAATGACGATAAGATTTTTAGGCAACGAGAGAATATTTTTTTTCTCGATTTGAAAATATTCAAAAGTGTCGTCTTACTCGAGGATTCGAACGGAATTATCGAATCCAAAGGTGGATCCGATTTTGAAAATTGGTCGCGAAATGAGGATAAGATCACTTTAGGAAACGAGAGAATATTTTTTCTCGATCTTGGATTTATTTACTCTGTTTTTTTATTATTTATAAAAATTTACAATACGTTGAAACTAATCGAAAATGTCGTCTCACTCGAGGATTCGAGCGAAATTATCGAGTCGAAAGTTGGATCGGATTTTTACCGCAACATCTCGACATAGATGAAATAATTGATCCGAGGGATTAAGGCGGGACCGAATACCGCGTTGGCAAATTGAAACGCGAGGGGGGCAGAGCGTGCATTCGCAATTTGTGGCCCGATTCGTGAAAACGTGCACGGCTCCTCCAGCGCTTTTCCACCGCGGATTAAACTTGAATCGATTTTATTGATTAGGCATCATTTGCGTTTGTTATCGGGTTTCTATTAACCGGGATATATAATACGATTCTATTCTTTCCTCCGTTTATTCTTAATTAACTGCTCGTAGAATTGTACACGCGCAATCATTACACGCGTATGCAGCTCGACAAACGCACTTACTTATCTACTCCCAATCTTAACTCGTCTCTCGATATCAAGTTGATATCCAGAGACTAGATCAGGAGTATCGTGTAACAAATTGTAAATAAATCTCGATAATTATTTGATTCTTCTGATCGAAATTAATTTCCACGAAATATCAACAAAATTACGCGTAACAGTTTCGCGTAAAATGGTTGAAAATTGATTTCTTTCGGGCAAATCTATCGCCCCTCCTCTTCCTTCTCTCCAACCGTTGGCAAGATCTTCGTTTCGTGGATTCGTTCGCGAGAAGGGTAATAACGCGTTGGTCATATTTGTACAGTTAAAAGGAGCGGCGGAAGCGCATTAGAAAAGGGGCGTTTGTTAAACTGGAGGGAGGGAGGGGGGGGGGATCCTGCTCTGGTCTTTCTTTCCACGCGGGAGAGGGATTACACGACCGCACCGCACCATTGTTCCACGGTGTTAACTTTTTCGACCGGATTATATTCTTACCATGGATGTTGTTGTTCCCTTTTTTCCCTCGCCATTAATCGGGAGTGCGGCCATTTTGACCATTTGCCCGCTCCCTCATTTTCAATAACGAAAACCGATATTTTTGGATTCTTCTTAAAAATTTTCCAATCGTTATTTAATTCGATGAAATGATGCATGTATATTTAAAAAATAATGGTATTATATTATTTTTGGCAATATAATTAAAAATCATTATCGTTAAATAAACGAACGAACGAAAAGTTTCTCTTTGTGAATATTTCTGATACATTTAGAAGTTTTAGAAGTGAGAATCGGGCAATATTAGAGAGAATGTGTGCATACCATTGGCAAATAATACAATTTGAAAAGTTAATCGAATATCCATAGCGATATATACAGTCGAGAGAAACAAGAAAGAAGAAAGATCGAATGGCTTACAAATCAATGGGTACACTTCTTTTATTTTTCATCGTACATATATATATATATAAATATATATGTGTGTGTGTGTTTGAAAGAAATACGAGGTTTTCCATTGGAATTTTTCATTGGCTTCCAAAATTCCTTCCATTTCCTCCCTTTATTGTATTCGCTTCCTTTTCATTATCTTCATTGTTTCACGTTTCCGTTTTCATTAATCTCTTCACGCGAAACTTTCCTCCTCTTTAAAATTGAATTTATAATTCTTTCACGGAAATTTTCTCATTCCAAATTTTAATCAATTCGAACGAATATTACATCCATCTGTGTGTATCAATAACATATTATTTCATTGTAACGCGTGTATTATACATATTTTAACTCGAATAAATAAATTATCGTTCAATTAATCCCATTAAACTTATTCACTCTATTCATCCACGTTAAAACAGCATAATACTTCATTTTACTCGAATCTTATGATATATATATATATATATTAAAATTTCTATATTTTCAAATAATCTTGTCATTTCATCCAAGAAAGAAACACAGGTATTCACGTTATCTTACAAATCGATCCAAATTGCCCTGTGTGCACCGTCTTCTTCAACAAAATAAAATCTCGATACACACGCCCCCTCGTCGTGTCTCGATTTCTTCGATTCTCTCTCTCCTCGCCTCGTTTCCCCGCCTTTAAATCGGCCTTCGAGGCGAGCACAGATCGGTGGAGCAGCCAGACACACACGAGAGCCCGCTTTTCAGTAGTGCAACCGTACCTATTGTCGGACACGAGAGACCTTTCTCCTAACCGAGCTCCACTTGATAATCTGCTCGGCTAAACTAAAGAGAAAGAAGGAAGCTCGCTTTTATCCCCCCCCCCCCGTTTACAAATTGGAATCGTGCTTAACCCTATCGAAACTCTGATTGTACTGTTTATACGCAACGTGCGAATAATTTTCGTGTGTTATTATAATATAAAATTGTAACGTTGATACAACTTCTTTGGGATCGTAAAAAATGGTATTGAAGGTAGCTTCGAGTGTGATTCGTGCTAAATTTCTCCAATTAATATTATAATTCGTGAATGAGGTTTTCCTTTGTGTCAATCCTTGTCGAAACAGGATACACTAACGAACACGATCGAGCATTGCTTCGATTTAAATTCTTACCAGAAGCTGTCCGTTATTTCCTTCACGAGAAATCGATCGGACATTACCCCCTGGAATCGTACTTTTAACTTTAGGCGTGTCCTTGGGAGATAATCGTTTCACACCGTAACAGGTGTGATCCCTCTCTCCTCGATCCGCCATTTAACCGCCTCTATCGTCACCTGGACGGAAGAAACTTAAGAAGAAATTCACATCGATTCCTCCATCGCCGGACGAGGAGAGGCGAAAACGCGTAACGATAGCCGTGAACACGTTGCAAGGTGAAACGCGAGGGTATTTTCCGGCACGCGCAAGGGTGTGGTCACGTGACTGTGACGGTGACAGGGGCGGATAAAACGGAGGAGGGTTGCGAGCCAAGTTGCCATGAAGAATTCGAAGGCCACACGCGACTCGAGTCTGCACACACGAGCTTAAACTACTTTTTCTTTCTTTATCTCTCCCCCCATTCTCCCCGCTATACGCCAATCTACCATTTCCTCCTTCCTCTTCCTCTTCGCCGCCTCTTCGCTGCGTTCCACACCCAACTCTCTCTCTCTCTCTCTCTCGTTTCGCCTTCTCCCTCGAACCGTCTCTCTTCCTCTCGGGATATATACTACATTCCCTTCGTTCCCTTTGCCACTCGAACAGAGTACACGTTCGGATTGCACACGGTTGATTCGAGGAACTGCCATTCCCGCCGCCTCTGGAACTCTCTCTCTCTCTCTCTTTCTCGCGCGCGCGTAAGTGGCGAGAGAACCAACAGCATCGACGTTCCCGATATAACCTCTTGAATACGTCGGGGAAATCACCGGGATGCTGATAAATTTATGTACCGCGAGATGTACTCGGGCATGGCCTCTCGCGATCGATGTGACCGGATCGATCGGTGTGCTATTGATCCACACGAGGTTTGAAAAATCTTGTGAAAAATTTTATCTCAGAAATTGTATCATTAATATTCGTCAAATATCTCTATTTGAATAATTGTTAGATGCTTCGATCGCCAGTTTATATTTTAGATATTTATAAGTAAGTTTGTTGGTTGATATATTGATTTATAAAACATATTTTGAGTAACGAAGTAATTCGGTTATAGTTCAAAAATATATAAAAAATCGAAATAACGTATTTCCATAAGAAACTGAAAAGCAGCGCCATCTACGCGTAACGCAATATTGTCGGACTTTCTCGTCGATTCTATCGCTTCAATTTTTGTCGGAGTGCTCGTTATCGCGGATCCACGTTACTCAGCGTCCAAAGCGACGAAAACGGCGTCGGAGACGCGATAATTTTAATTTCACTGCGCTCGATCCGTCGCCGCATCTGCGCATCGTGGATGGAAACGAGCAACGAGAATACACGAGCGAGTATGCGGAGGCGAAAGAGTGGGGAAGAACGCATTACGCGTTCACGTGCTGGGAAGAATGCGATTCATCGAGCGGCCGTGGTGGCGCCACCCTGAAGGACGAGAAACGCACGTTTCAAGTGGCTAATTATCGCGCGGGACGATGCTTGGTAAAAAACGAAACCGCTGTTTGAAGAGAGTAGCTATTACGTAAAAATATCAAATAATATTTTCTCTCTCGAAGGTTTAAAGAACTAAATAATATCAAATCTATTGCGAATAACAATTACACAACAAAAAAATTAATATAATTTTATAGCCCAAACTCGACCACATTCTCCCCGATCCCTTCGAGGTAAAAATACCACGAAACGGCCATTTAAGTAGAAGCGTAGTCGGAGGTTCGAAACGTTTGAAACGTTTATACGCGCCAGCACTTGTTCTATTATTATGATTCACACTGCGCACGATCGCCGGTGTTAAATGGCCATGCTCGTGAACCCTTACAGCGGTCAATTAGTCGCCGTGCATTAACCGGCTCACGTTGTCCGGCACTTTCGAGCGGAAGGTAATTAAGCTGATTACCAGCGGGAATCTTTCGCGTACGTCTGTCGCTCTCTGCATTCCATCATCATCGTGTACAAGGGCTTCCTACCGCTTCCTGTACAAGCGGTCTCAACATCTTCTGAATCTCGTACGTACTCTCTCAGTGCCCTCCGAAATTAATTTTTGGGAATACCAATTTAATCTCAATCTCATTCGATGAAAACGTAAATATATAAATCGCATACTTGTGTTGTACGTCGACAGCTATCTCAAAGCCCTCTCAAAAAAATTCTCAATCCTCCTCCACTCCCCTCCCTCCGGATATTTTACGCACAACTCGATCGTGAAAAAGCCGGTATGCACATGTGAAGCAGCGGTATCGAATCGATTTGCACGCGCTCTCGGTCAACAAACTCCTCGAGAGTGGTGGTAGTGGTGGTAGTGGTGACAAATTTTCGGCCAGTTCGAGAGCTTGTACTCGCGCGCGCGCAAGAAAGAGAGAGAGGGTACAATTTAACGCGTGGTTAATGACTCGTGGAAAGGGCGAGCAAGAACGTAGCGAACCGAGAAGGAGAATAGAGAGAGATAGAGACAGAGGTCGGGTTACGCACGGTGAAAGGGAAACGGTTGAACACGGTTCAAGCGGGGGATGGCGCGCATAAGCCGAGAAGTCGAGGCAATATTCTCGGCCGAGGGACACTTCCCGCGTAGGTTAAGCCGCGCACACGGCTTCCTGGGTCGATATCGGGTGCACCGTCGACGTGGATATCGCGTAACTCGATGATTAACCAACCCCCGGGACAAACCGACGTGCCGAAGGGCCCGCGTCCAAAGCTTCTGACCCGCCACGGATAGACACGGTGCGATCACACGGGGCGCATACTCCGCCCGGATCGATCCGGGGGATACAGTGTGTACCCTTTAAATTTCGCAGTGACGCCTCGCGCGACTAATTGGTCGACGGATCGATCCTGAGTCGCCACCGTTCATAAGGACGTATCGCGGTGTTTTAATAGGCAGCCTCCTTCGACCGATTGCCCTCCAAAACGGTTTCGTTTGATGTTACTTCTTTTCGAATCGAAGGATTAACTTGACTCTAATTGATTTAACTCTTCGCAAATGATCACAAGGATGTGAATGGAACTGAGTTGGAGTTGTTTTTGCAAGGTGAAGTTAGGATTTCAAGATTTCTTTGGGATTATTTTTTCCGGATTATTAACTCTTAATTTAATTAATCCTTTTCATCTTAAAAATTAGAAAATTAGATGTGAATAGAACTGAGTTGGAGTTGGAATTATTTTTTTGAATTAGGAAGGATTAACTTAACTCTTGATCTAATTTAACTCTTCGCATCTTTATAAATGATCACAAGGATGTGGATGGAACTGAGTTGGAGTTGTTTTTGCAAGGTGAAGTTAGGATTTCAAGACTTCTTTGGGATTATTTTTTCCGGATTATTAACTCTTAATTTAATTAATCCTTTTCATCTTAGAAATTAGAAAATTAGATGTGAATAGAATTGAGTTGGAGTTATTTTTATAAGGTGAAGTTGAGGGTGGAAGCTAGAATTTCGAGGCTCCTTTGGGAAGGATTTTTCATTATTTTTTCGGATTGTTTTAGGAGAGATTAACTCTTAATTTAATTAAATTCTCATCTTACAAATAATCACAAGGATGTGAATAAAACTGAGTTAGTGTTAGAGTTATTTTTATAAGATGAGGTTGAGGTCGCTCTGTCGCGTACATATACCAAGTTTGAGGCGTTCCAGAAGGTAGTGACTCCTTTAACATTATTTTTTCGAAGAATTAACTTCTTCCTCTTAAATAATCAAGATATGAGTGAAATTGAGTTAGAGCTATATGTTAGGCATTGCAGGTGACATTATTCTTTTCGAGTTGTTAAGAAGAATTAATCTCTTCTGCCTTAAGTAATCACAAGTATGTGACTGAAACTGAGTTATATTAGATCTGAAAATAATTTCAAGATTCTTTCGAAATTATTTTTTTCGAATTGTTAAGAAGAATTAATCTCTTCTGCCTTAAGTAATCACAAGTATGTGACTGAGTTATATTAGATCTGAAAATAATTTCAAGATTCTTTCGAAATTATTTTTTTCGAATTGTTAAGAAGAATTAATCTCTTCTGCCTTAACTAGTCACAAGGATATGAGTGAAACTGAGTTATATTAAGTTATGTATCAGGCGTGTCTGACGTGAAAATAATTTCAAGACTCCTTTGACATTACTTTTTTCGAATTGTCGAAAAAGAATTAATCTTTTTATCCTAACTAAGTGAATGAAACTAATGTTAAAGTTAAATTTACTTTTACAAGGTGAAGTTACGAAGTTGGGGGTCGAAGTCACTTTCTTTTAGAAAGTACATGCACAGACACATAGTGGTTGATAAGGAGATAGATTATGGCGATTTTATTTAGTAAGACCCATCCAATTGAGAGAATTAATGGGAACGAAAGTGAAAGCGAGATAATTTAATTCGAAAAATTTCTCGATAGGGAGCGGTCTCCCTCTCGCGGGCAGAGCGCGATGCTTTGCTCGCCGCGATGCAAACTTTAGTTACGAAATTAATGCATCCTAATTTTAGCGAGCGGAGGGAGGGGAGGAAGCCCGGTTTAATCGAATTTAGTTGCGCAAGGATACATAAATAACCCGCCGCGAAAACTTCCCCGCTTTCTGTCACGCGAAGCATAAATTGCACGGTTCAAAGGAAGGTGGCTTTGAGAGGGCGGCGAGTCGGAGAGAGAGAGAGAGAGAGTGTGGAGCAGCCGTGGACATTGCGGAACGGGACGTGATCGACACCTCTCTCCTCTCTTCTCGAGCAAACGGATATTAACACGCGTTTCGAAAAAACTGTGGACGTCGGAAGCCCGATAATTCTTCATTTTTCGAATTAAAAAAATGTTATAGATATGACATCTTCTCAAATTTTTAATATAGATAGCGTGTTAGATGTGCACGAGGAAATAGGTTTAATTATAAAGTAGTTTCTTCGACATAACTTTTTATTTACACAATTTTTCTCCTACTCTTCTTTTTGATTTCCTTTAATAAAACTTACTAAACTAAATATAATGTATTTTCGTTAGAATATTAATTTACAAAGATCTTTTGATTCGTGTAATTATTATCGCTATTGATTTATATCGCGAGAGATATATTAATGATCAACAATATTTTAATATATATATATATATATAAATATATATAATTACGTAATTCTAGGGACTTTTGTTAGTTGATTGGTAACCTTTTTGAATACAAATACGAGTGCAAAGGTGATTGAATGCTTCTCGAAATGAGTAAACCGAGGTAAAGAATGATGGACGAGTGAACGAATTTTAAACGTTCTTTCTACCAATTTTTCTTTATTGTTAATGTCAATGAAAATTTGTATATTATACAAATTGTGGAAAAAATATGATTCCAAAGTTTTATATTTCCACATATTTTTTTAAGATAATTATCATACCGAGTTATGAACAAAAATATCATCCGGAACGATCAATTAAGCAAGTTTTCTTTCGCTGTAAATTCGTATTAATTTCGCTCGACTCAGTTCTCTTTTTTTCTTTAAATTCGACGGGAATCCGCAAAAGTTGCAAGCTTTTTAATTAGAACCGCGCGCATTTAAATCTCCGCGCGGTCGCGGATCTATTTGCGTTCTCCGTCGTTTCGAAAGCGTTGGCTAATTAAATTTGATCATTTCGAAGCACGAATTCGAAGCGTATCGGATGATGCTGATGATTCTTACGCCGAGGGAATCGAGGAGAAAACGGATTTTCCCGTCTACTGCAAATAAATCTTTTTTCGCGCTACTTTCAATCAAAGCGAAACTCGTAAGAGAAACCGTTCCATTCTTTTCAATAATAGTCGACTATGATTATTTTTATACAATTGTCGAAATTCGACAAGCTAATTTCTGCTCCACGAGCTGTTTGGATAACATTTCGACCGTTAAAGTCACTGCGCGTTTGTAGATTTGCATCAGCTTTATCCTCGAAGCTGGCAACGAGAGGATAGAAAGGGACGAAGAAACGAGGGAAGCGACAAAGTAGTGGAACAATACGTCGAGAGTTTCGAGAATGCAATTGACTTTTGCCATGATGATATCAATTACGATGTTTAATAAAATTGTTCTTTTCTTTTCTTCTTCCTTCAATTATCCCTATTAAAATCATTCACCGCGCGTAAAATTACATAAAATCGATACTAAAACGATTAAAAAATTTAACGATAACGTAAACTTCTTTCGATGAATTCTTCCTTTCAGAAACGATATATTCTTTAGACATCGATAATTCAATTATATTTTATATCTTACTCAACCCTTTCATAAATCTCTCGTAGCGCAAGAAAAATAGGAGGACTTTTGAGGATTAAAACGATAAATAATTTTTTGGAAATTTATCTTCTAAACTCTATGAAACAAGTCGACGGGGAAAAATTCGAGAACCGCGAAGCATGGTTAAACGGAGGAGAGGGGAGGAGACTGGCCAGGATTCGCGCAAAGTGCGTGCGCGATCGCCGAGGAATTAAAAAGCTCGGCCGGGCGAATTCGAAACGCGTCTCAAAGCGCGTTAACATCGCGTTACTCCGCGTTTTAATGTAACAGGAGAACGCGTCTGCACCCTATTTTCTCTGTGATTTTGAGCTCTCCGACCGACCATCCCCTTTCTACTCTCGTTTTCCCATACACAACCGACGCGCCACCCTTTCCTCCCTCCCTCGTCCTCCATTTCTCTTTACCTTTGAGACCCTTTTTTTCATACGCGAGCACACGCGAAAATAAGCGTTTACCGAGAAGAAGGGTTGCTACACTCTTTCTCTCTCTTATGGAGTGCTGTTGTGATCGATACAGTTATTTAACTAGCATTCGTGGAGGCGGTTGTCAGCCGACAAGGATATTTAAAAGTCTATGCAAAGAAGTGAAGTGGCTGGTAAGATTAACTCAAATTTATTTCGAACGAGTCGTATAATAAATAAATTTGTGAACGAGCATTTTTTTCAATTCCAGATTTCAAGATTCGAATTCTCTATCTGTGTATCGAGATATAGATTTTCGAGCGCAACAAGCGAAAGGAATTAGAACACTGAAACGTACATACGTGTGGTTGATTTCAAACCTCTTTGA